ACTTGTGATCAACATCGCTGCTCCTTGGAGGCTTTTGATGCCATTGTTAGCAAATGGAAGAAGTATTCACCCTGTGGATGGATTGTTTGCAACCCAGATGAGCTGCAAAAGCCACTGTGGGTGAAAACACGGGGTCAGGACAAGGGGTGATCAACATTCAACATGAATGCAATGTGTTTCGCTCAGTTCAGTGTTCCATCGTGGTTTGAAGTTCCCATACAAATTTGGCCCCGGATCCAACCCTGAACCCTGCAGGAAGGATGGATTCGCTTTGAGCAAAGTGCTTTGCATGAAGACAAGAACTTTGGAGTCCCCGTGCCATCGGCTTCAACACCAGCACCCACAGTGACCGGGCAAGAAGACAAGAGCGATTTGGTTGGGATTCCATCATCCACAGCTTCCACAACAGAGATAGAAGGAGGTACTCTAGTGAAGCGTAGTCCAGCAAAGCAAAGAGTCCTCAAGAACCCAGACAAGATTCGATGGAAGAGAACCCCTACACCGTTGAAGCCAGAGATGATTCACCGGGTGCGTATACTACGTTTGTTGAGGGCCAAGGAGACCAAAGCTTTGAGGAAAGCACGGCAAATGAGCAAGCTGAGCATTGAGGAGCGGAGGCGCCAAACCCTTGCTCCACAGGCATCGGATCCAGCAGCTGCTACAGTGCATGTTGCTGAGAGCTCCAGCGCACAGGCAGCTGGCAAAATCAGTCCTAGTGCGAATGCAGGCACACTGATTGATAGCATTGATACGGCGGAGGCAGAGGTCACCCCTTCCATCAGTTCATGCCAGGCACAGCAGAGTGCTGCCTGTAATGCAAAGATTGACAGTCCTGCTGGCATTGATTCCAGCGATGCTTTTCAGCCACAGCCACAGGGCACCCATGTCCAGAAGCAGATTGACATCAATGTGGGTGCTAAGGCTAAGGCTGTTGATGCCAGTCAACCATGTCAGCTGGAGACAAGTTCTGCCACCATTGGTCCTACCCTCTTGGATGATTCCGCTGCTCCAGCTTCTATGGATGACCCAACCACAACTTCGGACCAGCAGACTCAACGCAATGCCAGACCGGAAACTGAATCAAGCACCAACAGGCCCAAAAAACAGTTGAGCAAGAACGATTCAGCAGACTCTGCTCACTCTAATCACTCTGGCCTTTCAGCTGCTCTGTCACACTTTTGCAAGGACTTTTTGGCTGATGAGACTGGTGAGACTGGTGGTGATAAAGCAAAGCCTGCAACACCAAACGGTGGTCCTGAAATCCAACATGTAAAGCCCATTGGGTTTGTGGATGGCATGGACGGCATCAATGAAGCATTTGGCTTCTGGGACCATGCCCTTGATGTTCTGGTCCAAGGTCAAGATGAGGATGACGCTGTCAACACACTGGAAGGTTTAGCAAACTCTTTGCAGGAAGACTCCCTATCCACGGCATTTTCCGGAATTAGATCACCAGAAACCGCAATGGCTCTTTTGCGAAATCGGCTCAGCTCAAGGCTTGGCAGGGAAGTTGCAAATCAGAATGGTCGCTTGCAGCACTCAATTGAGTGGAACTCCCATTCTCAAGCAGAATGTCTTGTGGGTGCAGATCTGGATGACAGCTGCGTGTTTGGTGACATAGCTCAATTCTACGTGGAGTCCATTCGTTCAAACGTCTTGCCAGAACTTCTGAACCATCCAGCTATGGCCATTGCGGCCCTCACCCCGCTCATTATGTCAGGAAGAGCAGTTCAAAGTACAGGCTTTTGTCTTCGACGCAACAAATCCTGTGCTTTGAAAACATGCAGGAGACACATTGCAGGGGCGTCCTGTAAACCATTCTCACGGAGAGGTGCAGGACTTGGTGTTTGTGATGGCGACATCCTATACACCCTGAGCTGGGTTGCCTTGAGACGACTGCTCCAGGAAAGTGATGTGACCCAGGAGAATGTCCGCAGTTTTCCTGTCAAGGTCATTGCAGATCTTTTGTCAGACCTCTATCATGTGGATTCCTGCGTGATGGAAGCCATTGACTTCGGCAGTCCTTGTGCGCGAGCCAGACAGTTTATACGACTTCGACACAAAGTCAAGATTTTGTCAGAGACAACCCCACTATCCAGGTTTGCGCAAAGGTTTCACCGCATGGTAAACTTTCATTGGTCTCAGTAACTTTCATGCAAAGAGATGTGTGTTTCAATGATGTGTGATTGTTGTTGCTTTAAAAACACTTGTGTAGAGTTTTGGAACAAATCAAACCGCCTTGAGCTTAGCAAACAATACCAATATGCTTTCTCATTGGTTTCTGCATCACAGCGCTATAGTTCCCATTGACGGACGGACAGTTCTCTTTTCTTCAGGCTGTTTTGGATGCTTTTCTTGATGTGCAATGTGCAAAGAACAGACATGACGTGACATGTTGTAGAGATCCCGCACTGCCTGCACTGGTAAGGTACTACTACCTCCACAAGTTTGGCCATGTTGCGGACAAGCTGCTCCCAATCCCGAATGAATTGGACCAGGAGTTGAAGTGGGCTCAGGGAAGGCCACAAAGTCAAGCTGCTTCCTGGGAGCCCTTGTCAATGACAAGTGATGATGAGCCCTTTTTGAGTGCGCTCACTTGCAGTGAAGAGCGCTACAGACTGTCCTATGCAGCTGAGCATCCACAGCAAGCATGGCAGCTCAACCAGAACCCAGATGCTGGTTTTGGTGCTACTTCAAAGGATCACAAGCTGCCGACTTTGATAGGGAATGTGCACATGCTGTTCACAGAGCACCCAGATGTAAGGCCCTCCAGATGGCTAGTCGGGTCTGAGGCGCTGGCAACTCAGGCTTTTCCGGTTGTTCCGTATTTGTTCGGAATACCTCCTGACCAATTTCCTCCACTTTGCACTTTCAATGTGGCAAGGGAAGGGCGAACTTCTCGGCAGCTACTTGTGCAGGCAGGGAATGCAATGAACACTATGGTCATCACTGCAATTTGCCTGCATGGGCTATGCGATTGGAAGAGGGCTGAGATTCCATCTTTGATGTCAAACATCAGATTGTCACGTTCATTGACATTGGCTTCAATGAGAGCTAAGACCTTTGATGAAGAACCACCAGCCAAACGGCGGTATAAGGGCAAGCAGCCTCAAGACATGTTGTGAGGTCTTCAATCACGTGGGCCACTAAATGCTTCAGAAGAAGGAGCTCTTCTTTGGTGCTGCTTCGCGGTTCTTGTGGCAATGGCAATGTGGGGGGTTGTGACTTGCCACCACTTCATTCCAGTCCAGCTTTTAAGTTTTTCATTTCTCAGCAATGCTAGATCAGCTCAGCAACACAAGGATAAATCAAAGCCAATGACTGACTGACAAAGCAACCTGTCCAATGAGTCTTGTTGAGATGGAAGTAGATGAAACTCTTGAAGGACAGTTGAGAATACTTCAATATTGAATATCTGTTTGACCTATTTACCTGAGGCAGCCACAATCCACCAACGCAGCCTGAGGGGATGAGAGCCGTGAGAGGGGAATACTTCATATGCAGAATCTAATTCGCGCTGATTGCCCTATGAATCTTGCAGCATCCTAGTGGCCATCTAGTACAACCATCATACGCGGTCACAAATACCTGAAATAGGCCTTTTTGGTGTGTTGGTTCATTGGTTGATTGGTGTTTATTGGCAATAGATTGGCAGATAGGTTCCAATTTCCCTGTCTAGTCTAGCTATATCTGCATCGCTGTATTGCTGGCAAGATTGCGCGCTTTGAGCGCTCGTTCCACAAACACCAAGGCCTCTTTTCATGACAAAATGTTGGCCGTTGCGGATTGAATTGAAGTTCAGATGAGCCCAGATGGGCCGGCAAACGTTTGCAGAGTCAGCCAAGTGGTATTGAAATTGAAAAGCTTCACGTTATGAGTCTGTGCCTGATTCTTTTGACTCAACTCCAACACATGGCAGAGGTTTCTCCACAAACCTTATGTTGTTGAAGCTAGGCTAGTTTCTCTGGAATCTTTGTTCTGAGATTTGTTCTGGTTTTCACATGGCCACAGGCTGCACTTTTGTTGAGTGCAGCTGGCGGCCTTTGCTGCCTTGCATTGGGGGTCGTGCGCTCAGAGTCAGTCTTCAGAGTCTGCATAAAAGATATCTCTGATTTGTTTTGTTCATTTAGTGTTCTTCATGTTTCATGCGTTTGCCCAGTTGGCACTCTGTCATGGCAGTGTGACGAGTAGATGTGATGTGAGGCTCTTATGATGTCGTTGTCATGTGTTTTTTTTGCGCGTGTCATATTCCTGGCTCAATGGTTCAAACATTGCTAGAGCTCATTTCGGGTTCATACCACCTCACTCTTTGTCTTCTACAAGTTCTACAAGAAGCCTGGTCTCTCTTGGCCGCAACATCTTGGTGTGAGGCCATGTCAAAACCAAGCGATGAAAAGAAGATCACTTCCACTTCACAGTTTGGTGGGAAATTGTCAGGGAAAGTGCCCGGTGATCCCTTGGACTTTGATTTGTTTGATGCTGAAGGGTCACTGGAGTCCTTGTTCGGAAGCCTGAGCGGGGCAGCCTTGCTGGAGCAACTCTTGGTATGGTTCCAGGACGGTGAGCCTTTGGATGTCCCATGGTATTCTGAGGAGAATGCTCGGAACTTGATTCGTCATCCTAGTTCCCAAGAAATTCAAGAATCTACCGTTACTCGCTATCAGATCCGGATCCTGTCTGAGGGTCTCAGCCAAGTTGTATCAGGAGTGGGATTGGTTGTTGACCTGACTTGATCACTGCGACTGCGAGCTAAGCTTGGTTGGGCATGGTCATTCAAAGCCAAGAAGAAAAGCAATAAATTAGTTTAAATGATTTAAACCTTAGAAAGATCTGGAATCTGGAAAGTGTTCCTTGTTGTTATTTCTTCCAGGTTTGCTTTATCCATCCGTCCCGCCCGCACATGATCATTTCTTTTTGCTTTTGTATTTGTTGGGAGTTCAATTTGTGCCTTGAGGAGAAGCGCTATGCAAGTACCGGACGGAGGACAAATCTTTCCCCTTGCTGGCTCTGGGGTTCAACCACCGAGCAGAGGCTTTCTACCGTTGTGATCGGGAATCACCTGACAATTCCTTCGTGAGGGATGCGAGAGTTCGGGGATTGCGACGGGTGAGGGTTCTCAAGGCTCAAACTCCGGACTTTGTCACTAGCAAGATCATTAGCCTGCTCAATCAGTTTCATGCTGGCAGCTCTGAAAACCATTTTGACATCATGGCGGAGGCGATTGATTTATTGCTTGCTTGTGCGAATGATGTACTCATCAGCTGCGCATTGTGCATGATATAGATGATTATTAGCTGTTTCTAGCTGTTTCATTGGACTTACAATATAGTGCCCATCTACTTTTTTGTTTATATGTTGGTGGCTGTCCGGAACACTAGACCACTTGCATTGGGATATCTGTGCAACAGGCTCTAGGCAGGTGTTCTCAGTTGCTGGTGTCAATGCTGTCAGGCCTTGCGTTTGGAGTCAGCGTGGAAAGCGGAGTGCCATCTCACGAAGCTCAATACGTACAATCCGCGGTATGGCCAAGCATACGATGAATTTGTCATGGCAAAGTCCAGTTCCAGTGACTACAACAATTATTTCCGTGCGAAATTGCAGTATTACAATGCTTTGGCACTAGCACACAACCTGCAGAACTTTGGCATCTATGAGAGGACAGAGTCATGGGCCAATGCCTTTGTAGATTTTTTGGACCCACAATACAGCCCACATGGTGTCATCTCCCAGATGCACGCATTGTCGCTCATGATCATCGGGGGCCAGAAAAGATTTACTTCAAAGCAAAAAACTGCAGAGCTTGTCTTCGAATCCATGAAAGCATGTGTGCGGGACTCAGCTTTCATGACTGGGAAGCCGAGCAATTTGTTGCATCATTTGACGTTTGTCTAGGTCATTGGTTAGGTGAAATCAACATGAAGAAACTCACTGGCTCTGCAGAACCTCTCGGAAACCGTCGGAAACACGTAAACAAACTCTCTAACTGACAGTGCTGACATAACACTGTGCCCGCAACACTGCAACATACTGCAACACAAACACACACAGATCCAGCGCCCTTGTGCTTGCGCTCAGGTGCCAGTTGGGCAGGCGCGGAAGGCTGCAGGGAGAGGCCTCACGTTTGCCTTTGCCAAGGGCGGCCAAGAAACCAGTCAGATTATGAATCTGATCAACTTGCCCATGGACTCATCAGCTGTTGTCAAGAAGATGATGAAGGGGTTGACTGCTGACCAGCAAAGCACTGCTGGTCCTAGTCCTGGTCCTGGTGCTGCAAACTCAGAGACCACAGCGGCCACTTCAAAAGAGGCTGCGCTATTGCTAAAAGTCAAACAAGGTCTGGCTGAGATCAAATCCCTCAACATCTCATTGAAGGAGTCTGAAATGAAGAAGTTGCAGCTCAAGCCCTGTGACGCAACCAAAGGCGTTGCAGATGGTGATGATGAAGGGAAACCTTCATCGTCAGAAATGAATGCAAATGCCAAAGAAGAAGTGAACACTTGTGATGGTGATGGTCCAACTGGCGGCGGGGTGGCTCAGGATGGGCCTGAGGCAAAGCGACGTAAGTTCAGCAAGGTGGAACGGAAACGTGCAGCTTTCAAAGGCTATGAAGCAGAGAAGGAAACCTTCAGTGTAATGGCCACATCATCTACAGGGGACTGTCGGCCAATCACTGCCCTTGATGATTTGCTGGCGGCATTGAACTTTGTCTTGCGCAAGCTTCTTGATGAGAAGGTGATCACCGATGAACATGACCCATCCATCATGGGCGCCTTTGGCTTTGTTGCAGGACTTTGGTTTGAATTTGCCTTCCAAGGCAGGGTGTGTCTCAACGGGCGTGACTTCAGACAATACAGTGCCCTTCGAACAGAGTTACAGCAGACTCTGATTGACGCAACTGAGAAGATTCAGATCTCTGCTCCTGACGCCCAGGAAGGATCAGCCCAGGCAAATCACTCTGGCTCTGGGAAGCGGCGTGGCCTTTCCCCACTGGAGTTGGCAGAATTGCTCAGCCGTGACCGTTTGGATACTCCTGTGACCAAGCTAGTTTGGGATGATGAGGATCCAGATGAGCGTGCCATCAAGAGCATTTGCACTGTGATGACAACCATGCAAGAGGCTGTGGTGAAGCCTTTGAAGAATTTTGTCGCTCAACCATTGCCTTTGCCACTTCTCATGCATGAAGCAGTACTACTTGGAATCAAGCAAATCCTTTCTGTCCTCAATTCCAAGGAGCTTGACTTGAACGATATGACGTCAATGATCAACTCAATTCTTGATGAGAAGTTGCCAGCTTCTTGGCAGAACTTTGTCTTCAACGTTGCTTCAACATATGGGGACAAGGGGCACTTCATTGAGCGGACTGACGAGGCTGTCCGCGCTAATCAGTGTGTTGGTTGCTGAGCACTGGACACAAAAAAACTACAGCAGACTCTTAGAGCGACCACTCTCATGATTGTATTTTTGTAACTTACATTGCAAAACAATCATTTGTTTTAGCTTTGCATAGATGTTGTCAAACAAAATAAACAAACTCTGAATGGAGCGCCTGTCAGGTGTTCAAAGATGTGGATCGACTTCAAAAGTGTGCGTCTCTACGTGTCAAGTACTTGCTCAATATCCTGCATGAAGTCATTTCAGCCACCAAGGGCATGCCAGAAGTGCAGGCAAATCTGAAGATCCCAAGCACCACAGAAAGCCTCCTTCAGAAGCTGACCAACGTGGCCATGGATTCACAGGTCTTTGAGCTTCTTGTGGTGTTTGATGCGATCCAGTTCAACCAGTTCTGGGCTAGAGAATGGGCATCTTTGCTGACTAAGGCAACATCAATGTCAGAACTACTACAACTTCTTGGCCAATCTACAAAGCAAAATGCTTCTGGTGCGACTGCAATGCAGGCTTTCACGGCAGCAGCTAAGACTCACCATGATGAAGGCAGGGTTGTAGGGCCCAGACAGGGTCAGACAGGGTGGTGGTTTGTTTGGCTAATCTGCTTCCTGGTTTTGTGTTGGTTGAGGTTTTCTTTGGAACTTGGTATTGGTGTCTGATTAGTTGTTTGTATTAGAGCCAATACGCCGATGGGCCAATAAAGGTTCGCGCAGTCCATAGCCATATAAGGTTTCCAGCTACCAGTAAGCCACATGCCCCCTGACACCACCTGGCAGCACCCTTAAGCCATAGCTGAATTACGCTTTCTGTTTGAAACAGCAGTTAATTGTTGACGCATACTTCAAAAACACATCTTTCTTTTGAGCATCTTGTCCGATCTCTGTTTGGAATTACCTTTCTTGTTGTAAACATTTTAGCCTTTCCTGTCCTTCTTTCCTTTCCTTCCTCTGTTTCATTGTTTCATTGGTTCATCAATTCATCATAGCATGGCAGGTGCGCCCGGAGCAGGCAGCGACAAGAAGAATGGCAATGAAAACCCAGAGAAGAAGGCGAACGGCGACGTGGACAAGGATCAGCAAAAGAGTGGGGCAGCAAGTGGATCAACCTCAGAGGCTTCAAGCACCTTGAGTCTTACAAGAGTCAACTCCTACAAGGATGATGAGCGAGTTGCCAACAAGAAGTTGTTGGAATCCTCAAACCAAGCGCTTGAAATGAACCTCACTGATGAGACCATGGATTCGATTTTTGTGAAGGTTCTTGAGCACAAACTCGAAGTGCTTCATTGGCAAATGCACCAAGTGTTGGCAGTTGGCTCAGATCAGGTTCTCATCAATTTGGCCAACAAGAAGGACTTTGTGCGTGTGAAGCTGCCTGTGAATCATGGACGGTTGCAAATGCCATATTCTGGGAATGTCAGTGTCACAAATTCCAGGGGATCCTATCTGTTTGCCAATGTCTTCGGCTTGAACTTTTTTGTTCAGCCAAGATCAGATGGGCTCAACTCTGACATTTTGGTACCTGCATGGTCAGCCAAGCAGGTTGCCAAATCCTCTGATGCGAACTTTGAACAAACGAATGTTGTGTCAAAGTTCATGGCTTACATTGAGCATGGCCAGCAGCTCACGTCCATTTCTTTCGTCCTGGTGCCTGACAAAGATCGCCTCGCTTGTGTGGTACAGAAGGAGAAAGACATCAAAGCAGCTGGTGGTTCTGTTTGTTACTTGCCAACGTTCATGGCCCTTTTGCTTTTGCCTTCATGCAAACATCTAGAAACTGTCTTTCAGCTGTTCCTTGGTTCCTTGGTTGTTTGATAAAGCCTTTGGACTAGGTTGGGGTGAAGCCCACATGAAGATCCTCAAGCCCATTGATAAGTTGATGGACAAGTTGCAGCAAGATCTGGACAAGCAGAAAGAGAAGGCGGAGAAAACGGCGAAGCTGCTCGTTCAGTCTGCATCTAAGAAGAGACAGGCAGTTGAGAACAAGGAGAACAAAAAGAAACGAAAGCAAGCGCAGCAAAGTGAGGATCCATTGGCACAAGTCAAGCTGGACAAAGAAAATGCAGAGGCAGAGCTGAAGAAGCTTCAGCACAGTGCGGAGGAGGACAAAAATATCCAAGAAGCGCTTGACAAAGCTCTTGCTTCTTGCAAGATGCCTGAGACAATCCCAATCAACGTTTGTGTTGCCTCAGCCAATGTACCAGTTGACAAAAGTGCCAGGTCTGAGGCTATGATGGCTGCGCTCCAGAAAGCAAAAGACAAGTTGGCCACTGCCAACACTACCTCTGGAAAGGAGGAAGGTGCAATGGAGGAGTCAGCTTCTTCTTTAAAAGTTGGTTTGCAGGCGGCTGTAGAGTACCAACGAAGGCAAGGCAACATTGCTACCAAGAAAAAGAAAGGCACCAAGGACGAAAAGTCCATGGTCACAGCTGATCTGAGGAAGATAGGCAAGCATTTGTTGAAGTGAGGGCGCCGTAGGAATCTTCTTTTTCACAGCTGGATTGTCTGATGTCAGTCTGGCAGCCACTCTGGCAGCTGCTGGCACTCTGGTGTATAGCTTCTTGACACTTGCTCTTTAATCCGGGCATTGTTTGGGTCCGTAGCAGCTTAGTTGCTTGTGTTGCAGTTTCTTTGGTTGTTTCTGTTATTGTTGAATATGTTTCTTGTTGAATTGTTGTCGTATTACACCAGTTTCTTGTCTTTGCTTTGCTGCATCAAATTTCCAGAGAGACCTAGACGCAATCCAGTATATTTCCTAGGCGTGGCGGCAAAACGTTGAACGTTGAACGTTAAACTGACCACACTCTTCCAAGAGCCAAGGACACCAGATGTAAAGTAAACCTAAAAACTCATACTCATAGGGCAGAAACAAACAAATCCTTCATAGTCTAGTTTGTTTGTGTGTCTACTATACTTTGTACAGTTGTACACAAACTATGACCTGACTGTGGGAATTGGGTGCTACGATTGGGGAGCACGTGTGCATCCTCCACAGTGGGTTGGGCATGTACCTGAATATGCCCAAGATGGTGTCCTTCAGACAGCCAACACGAATTGCTCCTGAGTTTTGGTCGGTTTTGTTCAGATGTGCTCTCATTCCAAAATGGTTTGGGGTTGACACATCTATTTGCACAAGTGATATAATTAAAGAAGTGGCAAGTGCGCCTGGTTGCCTATGCCTGTGTATTGGATAATTGAACATTTTATATTTCAATGCAGTGCATCAGAATCAGAATGCTAGGGGGGCACCGGGCCACCAAACAGGCCAGTCAAAATCAGAGACAGTAGAGAAGTGTCCAACGTATCCCAGCGGCGAAAAAGAAGACAGTTGCAGCTACGTTTGCGCATTAGTTCATTAGTTCCATCTCATCCTGTCAGTTCAGAGTTCATTGTTCGTGATGTTTCTAACTAACACTGTCCAACAGGAAAATCACCCAACCTG